CATGTGTGATAGACTCCTGGAGTCCTTTCCTCCAGCTAAATAAATATGTCAATTTCCTACCGCCCCGGCAGGGGTGGGGGTGGGAATGGGAATCCTAGCGGCGCGGAGAGCCTCGAATCGATTCGGCGCCTTCAGATCGCCCCCAATCTGCCCTAGTCCGCGGAAGAGGCGCGGGAGAGTCCCAGGATGATCGCTCCTGTGACTTTATTACATTGTTTCCTCGGTTGCCTCTGCAGGGCCAAACGCAGCCCTCCTAGGCTTTGCTCTCTCCCGCGTTCCCTCTGAGGCGCTCCTCCACTCCCACCGCAAAAACTGTTAGAAAGCGGGAAACGTTAAAAAAAAAATTTTTTTTTTAAAGGCAGAGAGAGGAGACACCCACTTTGATTCTTCTCTCGTCTTTCTCCGACAAGTTTTCCTGCAGCTGTTATCAAAACATGCAAATGAGATTTCCCCCCCAACAGGATCCTAAACGAATCCGGAGGAGTTAACGCGCCGAAGCAAAATAATCTTCCCGTTTGAAGTGACTGTGGGTTTCAGTTTGCCTGTTCTCCCTGCGATACTATTGCAGGGGAATGATAATTAGACCTTTACTTGAAAAAATCCAAAGGGGCTCGCTGGCTTTCGCTGCCCTCCCTCCTCCCTTCCCCCTCCCTCTCCCTCTCGCGCTCCCTCCCTCTCTCTTTCTCTCTTGCTCAGATGTTGGCAAAGGGGTTTTTCTTCATCAGACTGTTTTTTGGTCCGAGGGAAAAGGAGGAAGAAGGAGATTGTGATGGAGAAAGGGGGTCTGTAAATCGTCAGGCACCGCACAAAGGCTTTGCCACGTAATTACAGGCTCCTATTAAGTCGAGATCTGCCCTCCCAGGGGTCTCCAATTTTCTTGTATTCCCTACAAAGCGTCCTCTGCATGCCAGTTTGTGCCTTTTGAAGTGCCAGAGAGCTTCTTGATCCAACTGAGAAGGAAAAGGAGCTGGGCAAGAAGAGGGGGAGAGAGAGAGAGAGAAGAGAAAGGGGGGAAACCCACCACCACCCTCCTTCGGACTCCTGAAGCCCTTCTTTTTTTTTTCCTCCTCCTAACGAAAAGTAAAGTGAGAATCCTGCTCTCCAGTACATCTGCAAGACATCACCCTCTCCTCCTGAAACTCTAGTCACTCCTGAGAATCCACAGGAGTGCGGAGAGGGGGAACGCGCTTTCTTGAAGATGTTTTAAAGCTGGAACAAGCCTTCTTCTGTTGGTGCTTGAACTCTTGCCTGGGAATAACTTTTTTAACCTTAAAAAAAAAAAACACCCACTTTGATTCTTCTCTCCCACCCCTTCTCCTCTCTTCTTGTGTTTGCCTAACTCCCCCGCCCTGCTGGCTTCCCCTCTCTCCTCTCCCCCTTACTATTATTTTTAGTGTGTGCGTGTGGACGCTTTTGGAGAGAGAGGTGGAAGGAATTCTTTTCTCCTGACTTGAACGCGGGGTGACTTTTGGACTTTACTTTTTGGTGTGGGTTATCTCTTTGGACCGCGCCGGACTTGGCCTCGGGAAGGCGGCCGAGGCTGTCAGAGCTGCTGTGGGAGAGCGCTCTGCTAGGCACCAGGGGTCCCCCGCCCTCTTTCCACTGTTTTTTTTTTTTTTCCTGTTCTTCCCCTCCTTCTCTCTCTCTCTCTCTCTCTCTCTCTCTCTCTCTCTCTCTCGCTCTCTCTCTCTCCCTCTCTCTCTCTCCACTCCCCCTCTCTCTTCCCCACTCGGCTCCTCTCCCCCCTCGCGCCCACAGCGTTTGGTGTTGATTCGAGCGGGAAGAGGGGGGTGGGTGGGATCCGAGGGGGAGACCATGACCTCCAGCTACGGGCACGTTCTGGAGCGGCAACCGGCGCTGGGCGGCCGCTTGGACAGCCCGGGCAACCTCGACACCCTGCAGGCGAAAAAGAACTTCTCCGTCAGTCACCTGCTAGACCTGGAGGAGGCCGGGGACATGGTGGCGGGGCAGGCGGACGAGAGCGT